TCGTTGCTTCACGATAGGTTGATTATAATATTGCAGTTTTATAATATTGTAGTTTGATAACTCTTTTCATTTCTGACAATAGCATCCTAAACGTGGTTACAAACACAGTTACTACACACACCAGGAAATCATGTATACTACAGAAAAAAACTCCAGAAAATTCAGGTGATTTCCTTTCAAAAGAATGAAATTTATCGCCAACTGTATAAACGTGTTTTTAGAAAATCCAGACAAAATGCATTGATTTTTGAACAGATCATTAATTGTGAATTAATTTATCAAAAACACATGCATAAAACATAATTTTAGCTCCGTTATATATATAACATATAATGATTTACTAGACTACACAATTTTCACACAAAATATAAAATCTGATTTACACCAAAAAGTAAACAGTAAACATAACAGAAACATAAATTTATATCAAATTTAATAACAATACGTTATGATAAACACTTTCTGTCTAATAACACCGTTTTCATTAAAATGTTGGTGCGAGTTCTCTACGAGGTTATGGAAGATAATATTTACAAACTTCGGTGAATACCTTATTGAAAAAAATACATGGATTAAACGTGTTTAAAAACTGTTGAGAAAAATAAAATTGCTTTCCTAATACAGGGGAAACACAATATGCAACTTCCTATCTCATAATTTCTACATTTCAACATTTCATGTTTGCACTTGACTTTGATTTTTTGTGTTTTTTTTGTTAAAATCCCCATTTCATGAAAATTTTAACCAATTTCTAACATGGATATAATTTTCTTTTAAATAACATAAAATACACACTATTCTTATGCATAACATTGCCATTCTTCTCACATATAAGATGACATTATCCAAATGACTACATATCGGGTAGAAAAGTTATACTCACGAGATCATTACATTCAATTTTATGGATGAAAATAAACATTGTTCAAGGTACAACGATGAGTAACAATTAAATCTAAGCCGTCAATGAAAAGTCGACCATGAATAATTAGAAATAATGTTACAATCCGGTGAAACATTAGTTATCTATTCACTGGAGGTTTTGCCAGGTAAACATCACATTTCAAACATTAGGTCAGTATAGTTGCTGCATTGGTTTTATGAATACGGGACAACTATCCGTCCTTATGTCTATGCCATGCTTTACTATTACCATTTATGGTAAATTAAACATGTAGCCATTATTGTTTTTGACACATTTGTATTGTTAATGTCCCTTCACCTTACAACTTTGTTACTTTGTACGATAGAACTAATAGTTCCTAACAGGATACTTCACTTTCTCAAATTGAATTTACTTTGCTGTAAGTTTAAAATGAAATGTAGTAATGCATATTTTATAATATAAACACGTTTATAATATTCACATTAATATATAAATGTTAATGTCTACTGACCATCATTAAAAATAATCAGATACTGTTATTACAGAATATTACACAGTTCCGACTATTTTCTGTGTAGTGGAGATAATTATTACAAGCCGACATGATGCTGAATGCTATTATTCTAGTGGACTTTAGTGATTCTGCCTAAGGATATAACTGTCCACGCACAAATAAGCCAGCGCGGATCCTACTGTATCAGGGTTGTCCTTCTACTCAATAAAACGTTTTCCATAATTATGCTTTTTATGATAAATAGTATATTAATTTTGCAATCATACCAAATGTCTTTGTTTAATATTTACTTAAATAAAACATACTGAGGAAATGTGAATTAACTTTAACAACTGATACAAGGGTTTAATATCGGCAAGAAGAACAAGAAACAATCCAATGGTCAGTGAGTCATATCATATCCGAATTCAAAACAGTCCCCTGTCTAGACAAAATAGAAGAAAAGAGCAGCATCTTGTCCAGTATACCAGACTTCCCTTGCAAAACAAATGTTAATCACTTCACAGTTTTAACCTAAAGTTGTAAGGAAAATGAAATCAACTGCATATTGATTAAGAATTTATTGCGATATTCTACATATAGGTACATATTTTATCTGCAGAATATTGGAGTACATTTTGGATAAATACTCGTTTATCGGTAGAAACACCAGAATTAAATTTTAATCACATTGCAGGCAATACTATTTTACATGTTTATGTTAAAACATTCTGGAGCGAAAACCTGTAGGATATTTTTGCTTAGGTAGTGAAGTATACTGCAAAATATATAACAATCTCTTTCATTATTGTTTAGTTTAGATTAACAGCATTGTCCAGTATGTTGCTGGGAATTGGTTTGTGCTGTGTGGTATACGCGAACAAAGTATTTTGTGAATAATCGGTTGTGATCGGCAATAAAATAATGAAAATAATTTAGCATGTATAAAAAGACCTTTCAAGAAGTTATATCTTTGATGAAATAAAAATAATAAACATAAAATACTCATATTTAAAATCAAACATTATTAATACTGCTCTGGTGTTCGCAAAATGACGTCAATTACATATGGAAGCGGTTATTACTTGATACTATGCATGATACAGGTTATTTATCTGGCTTTTTATGTAAAACTGTATATATATGTGCAGGAAGATGTTCAGCACTGAAAGAATTATCTAAATACATCTTAGTGTGAAAATAGAAAAAGATAGTTTTTGCCATTTGATATGGAATTGAAATCAAATTTACCGTGTTTTTATGCTCTTTTCCCTCGAACAACTACGTCAAAATGTAACGCAGGCCATGACAAAGGATAATGCTACCCCAATAAGATGTTTAGTGTTTCAAGTGAATGTAACTCTAGACTTGATGACATGTTTCTGCGCTTTCGTAACTTTCGAGTATTTCTAAATTGTCAAATTTAACCATGCTTTACTTACCGCTGTCCACTTCTCTTACAGTTTACTATACAGTTGGTGAATTAAAACTTAACGCTGTCCACTTCTCTTACAGTTTACTATACAGTTGGTGAATAAAAACTTACCGCTGTCCACTTCCCTTACAGTTTACTATACAGTTGGTGAATAAAAACTCATAAGAAATGACCCATTAGATGCATAATAGCAAAAATAGTATCAGCAAAAGAAAACGATTTATAATAAAAAAAAAGCTGCAGTTCGATTGTTGAAAAAGGAATGAAGTAACCGAATGTACTGTACATTAAATACTCGAATATGTAAAATCAAATACTTTTCAGTTTAAAAAAAATCATCTGTTCTTTTTATCTTATTAAAGGATTATTCAGCTAATAATACTTTTTTATCAGTAAATAAAAACTAAAAATAAAACATGATTCTAAGAACAACTATTAAAATTTCATAACACATACATTTCTAGCAATTAAGAACTCTAAAATCATTTGATTAGTGGATACTGCCAAAATATTTGCTGTCATAATGGAACTTATATCTTTCTGTAAGCATGCTTACTTCAGAGCACTCAAATTTTAGCAAGATGTCAAATTTTAACAGATTGGCTCACTGAAAAATATTCAAACACAGAAACTTTACACAGCAGCATTGGGAACAACTCCCTAATGTCTTTCACAACACTATTATATGATAATACTTGGCAGCTTGACTCCAAATTCCCCCAAAAAATCTTCAGTGCTTTACTTAGCATTCATAATTAAATATGCATTCTTCATGAGCGGATCTACGTATTTGTCAGCATACTGTGGCATAAAAGTGTTTGTTTTTTCAAGTTTCTCAATTCCTTTTTATGGAATTTTCCTGTACGCCCATCATTACAGGTTATTTAGGCAGAAGGAAAGCATAAAAAACAATCAGGTCTGGTTACTGAAAGCATTCATGCAATGCACTACAGTTTTTTTTAACAAATTACTACTAGACTGTGAAGTTAAGAAAAAAAAGTTATAACACATTGTCATAAACTTTGTGACACACTTACAGAAGCATTGTGACACGCTAAAGTATGACAACACAACAAGTATTACACGCAAAACATTACCTAACATTATAGTGTAATAAATCAAATGGTGTCACAGCACTACACTATGTCATAGCACTACTCTATGTCACAGCACTACACTATGTCACAGCACTACACTAAGTCATAGCACTACACTATGTCACAGCACTACACTATGTCACAGCACTACACTTTGTCACAATGTCTGTTTGAAACTGATACTGAATAAGTCCATAGTTTACAGAAGTCATCAAGGACAGAGAAACATAGGAAATAATTTTATTTTGGCATATTTTCTTCCATCCCCATGACATATATACCATGGGCTTGTTACATGACAATGTAAGATTGAGGTTCTGCAGTATTTTCTTAAAAAAACAACTAACATATTTCCTTAACAAAAGAATTCTAAAAGACCACTGAATTAAAAAAGCAAGTAAGATATAATTTTCAAATCGTTACTCAGATAAAAATAATAATAATGTATTGATAACAACTCCAATTATTCGGAATTAAAAGACAACCATGTCGATTAACTTCTTCTGAAAGATTTATTAGAATCTATCGCAGACAAAGGATTTTCAACTGAGGGTAAGATTTTCACAGTTTAGCATCAGGTATTGATTGCCAAGTGCTGAACTTCGAAAATCTTACCTGAGGAATTGAGATTTCCCTGTTTGTATGACACAGGTATGATTATCTTACTTTCCTACCATGGAGTAATAATAAACCCAGTATAGTATTATCAAGGGCACAGGAATGCAACACATTTGATGATGTAAGCCCGGATATCCTACATAAGTGATTATGCAATCGTGCCGTTTTTAGAATAAATGCACATGCGAGATGTCTCTCCCTAGGCTGGTAAAGACAATAGAATCTTCCCTTACCTTGAGGGTGTGATCGAGAAATCTCCAACTTGAGGGGTGATGTTTTTTGGTTGTCTAACCAGAGAAAATCACCCCAAGGGTTGGAGATTTCTCTGTTACACCCTTATGGTGTAGGGGATGATTGTTTTTCTTCCATCCTATTATTTCAGTCAAAATCCATCGAAAGTAGTGTAAACAAAAACACATGTGGGGTATGAATATCGTCATTCACTTTTGATGACGTCACAATTACCGGCGACGCATTTTAATGACGTCGCAATTGAACACGTGCTTATCGGCACGAGACTATCTCCCCCTAGGGGGTGACAACCTGATCTTTCCCGCCTAAAATGGGAGACACACTTGTGAAGGGTGGGAAAAAAGTGTATCTTTTCCCTAGCAAAATGAGACTTTGGGCACCTGTTAAGAGTGTGAGAAAGCTTAACACAAATCACATGTACAATATGTAACACAGTACACCACTGTAAATACATCAAATCACTATATAAGCTTTACTAAGTATATATGCAGTAGTTGTAAGGGACATTTCTTTGTGACATATTCTACAATATAAAGACAATGTTATCTGCTTAGGAAGATCTAAAATGTATGTAACATATTCATAAAATTTGGTTTATAGACAAATTTAAAATTCAATATGTGTAACACTGTAATGTCATTACACAATATAATGAATGGCAAACACACACATATATAGAATTAATTATATATAAATATGATATAGAAATCTGTTTGTGACATATTACAATACAAATGACTATACACTGTAAAAAAAACATGGTGACAATATCCGATATTATACTTGGTATTCTACCAGGAAAGATGAAACGATTCGGGATCATTACAACATTTAAATGAGACAATAGAATTATTTTACTTAGGTACACATAGCCTCCGATCTACTGTAACTCCACTATTTTTCGAAATAGCTTAAGTTACGGACAAAAGTTTATTTGCATAAAATGTTATACATGCTACTGAATCCATTTCAATTTGGAAAAAAATAATGAGTCAATCCTTTCATCGTTATATAGTCTTAAAATTTCTCAACACCTTACCATATCAAAATTTCATTCTGAAATACCACCCAGGTTACTGGTTTTTTTTTGTTTTTTTTATTTACCGAGAGAAAAGTCACATCAATAATTTCGCTGTTTTCTTCATCAATTTGAATAGAGGGATATAATAACATAATGAAAATAATTCTAGTTACATGAAGACATACTTCTGACCTTAATTTTTATTGCCAGAGATCAGGGCCAGGTATGTTGTGAATATTGTAATTATGTATTAGGCTACCAGTTCATACCCATGCTGCCCATTTCTTTGTTTTGTCTATATGGCACATGTGAGCCACATCATATCTGCTGTGTATGTGTAACTCTTCTCAGTAAATGGATCTTTGATGTGTCAGTTTAACAATGACACACCATAATATTGATAGTTTTCATAGTTATTTAGGATTTTATTATTAAGTACATCGTTGGAGATCTAGATATGCCATTGTAGACATTCCACCCAATGCTGGGTCTATACAACTAAATCAAACTTATTTGATTGAATGGCTTTTTCATACATGAATATTGGTGTAGGGGGATGGGCCAGAAACTCAATCCCCCCTTGACATTTTTTTCTGGAACATTCTGAACTAAATCGATGTGTTTTTGTAAATTAATTCATGGAGAAAAATAGTAAACTTCACAAAGAACACTTCAATTTTCTATCAGAACTGAGTGTCTGAACTCTGTTTATAAACATGCACTTCGTATTCCTCATGTCAGTAAAATAATTAGCCAGCCTGCGGCTAAATTTGTTCACCTTTAATTGTTCTGAGAAAATTTTATGTCAGGAGAATTCTCTTCTTATTTATGGGCAGGTGATGATATATCCACATTTTCGTTTATGTGGATTTCAGAAGTTTGTGGATTGTAATATGTTTACCTTCCCTTTTCTAACCTCTCCACAATAAGACTGTACTCCAGCACTGATTAAAACGTCTTTCCTTTCACAGATAGTAGTATAAACTACATACATTATTAAGTTGTACAACTTGTGTTTAACTCATTCACCCTTTTTAAAACTTGACTTGCCCAGTCTTTAATTTGGTAAGGTTCCAATGTTACTTTAGGGGTGAATGGGTAAACAAACCAATGCTATATCCCAAACTGAACAATCTTCTCATTTTAACATTAAATGTTAAATACTATTCACTCCATTTTCATCGTAGCTGTTTAATCAATGTACTATTCTGCAATCTTATTTCTCTTAAATTGATCACTTATCTATTTTTTCTTCTAACTGTAGGTTCATGAAAGTGAAATGGAAACAGGCTGACACATCTTAAAACACCTCAATACTGATAGAAGAAAGTGTTTTTAACATTTTGATCAAAATTGGAAGCTTCTTCATATATTTTACCAAACCCAAATGTGTATCAACCTACCACACAGTGCACTGAGAGTGGGAAAAATATATTTGCCATTAAGTGCTATTTTCTCTTTTGGTGGATAAAGGCAATCATGGTCATGTACATGCTTTCTTTGTAATGGATAATATTTAAATTATCAGAAATATTTCTAGATTTCTTTCTTTTTAAATCCAAACAATTCAGCCATTTTTAAACAACATTCTGCTGACTAGGTCTACTTAGCCGACTTAATAAAACTACAACCCATCAACTTCCTTCGACAACCATTAACTAACATTACTTAAGTGTTTTTTTTGCAATTTGAAATCTTAATAGCAATTTGCATATATACCCTCTAAATTCGCTGAAGCGGCAAGCTGTTACATCAATGATCTTTATGCAGGTGGTATATAATTAATCAATTAATGCTGAAATACAGGTACTCGCCACTTTGTCAGAAAATTTTCAGTCTCTAACACTGAGTCTCAATACAATCTGATTTCTTTGACCTTAGTTTTCCCGATATTTTGCTCCTCCGTTGTGGTTTTACGAGCATCCACAGTTGAATTTGATGTCCGGATCATTAACGTGCTCGTATTTACAATTAACACACTGTGTGTGGAACCACTTATCACAATAGTCACATTGCACCTGGAAACAAAAACAACATAAAAATAAAGCAAACTGCAGAAAAACGGGTAACTCATTAATGTAACATTAAATATTTATTTATACAATATTCAATTTTTTTAATTTTTAAATATCATTTAATGCCTGTTTTGAATAACAAAATTTCATCAAAGTTTCTAGAGGCTAAAACATTGAAGTTGCCAAAGTTGATTAGCAAAAAAGGACTTAATATACAGATTGACATTCAGTCCTTATTACAGTATAACTGAGAAGAGGCAAGGATCAAGGATGAAGCCCACAAAACATGCCCACAATCCTTGTAATCTTTCATTAATGCAATTTCAAAAATAAGACGTGTTTTTTGGATGGCTTTATAATTTTTTATAGATTTTAAACTGAAATATGAAGATTAATACAAAAGTTTTGCTTCTTGTTCTTTAAAAGGTGAATATGATCAGCAATGAATCCAAGGGTAAATTATAGGGGAGGTAACTCTAGCATGAAAAATAATGTATAATGGGAAGATTGATTTGTTCTATCAAATCTACATATACTTACCCAGGCCACTGTTTTATCGCTGGGTCTCTTACAGCCATCTGCATCACATGTCTCGACTTCGTACCACTCAACACCCTCCTCCAAATTTTCCTCCAGCTCCTCCTCTGAGTCACTACTGTCACTACTGTGACCCTGCCGTCTACGGCCACGCACAGGTGTTGTCGGCTGGGCCTTCTTACCTCGGCCCCGTCCAGATGTTGCCACTGGTGCAGGAGGCGCTAAAGATCATTAAAATAAAGCATTATGTATCAATTATATAAGACAGTTGATCATTGGATATTTACCTCAACTGCAGTTATACTTATCTCCCCTTTTTTTCATTTCAGTAAATTTTATTGAAAAATCCAAAGGATTGGACAACAGGCTATGCCTATATAAGTCCTCTCCTAGCCAGAATGACAAACAAATAAAAACTATATATAGAAAGAAATAGAAAGAAATGGTACATGAAATAGTTACAGAAATAGTGATGCAAGGGGAGTAACTCCCATAGAAGTTTTAGTTAAATAAATATATATATGCCTCATTTCTCCCCTTTGACAAGGTTTGCTACAAGCTAAGGTTATACATCACCCTATAACAAAGTTTGTGAATCTGTAAAATCAGCGCATTTTTAACATCATTAATTTGGCATGTTCTAAGTTTGCTCAACCAGAAGAAAGGAGATTAATATTGCTTTAGATTCAATGTTGCACCACCATGTTTGATATTTCTGCTTGAAAACGTTTTAGAGATCAACGGATGTACTGAAGCAAAAGATAATAGATCATAGTGTTATAAAAGGCTAAAATTCCACTCCAGAAAAGCACCTATATTAAAGTACAGTGTTTGCAAGGTGACGGAAGCCAGCAATCAGGACGTTCAGTTAACGTCCTGAATGCCGGCTCCCGTCACCTTGCGAACGAGTGTGCTTCATGTATAGAATCAACTATGCGTTAGCTCCATTACAGTGATTTGTTTTAGACTTGCACACTTACATTTCTGCATTGTATAGTACGAGGACGAAGACAGCAGGATAGTTAGATTTTTAAATGTAACACTTCAGAAGTAAAACTTGACGGACTTGCAATACAAATGCAGACCTGGAAAGACTTTGCCAAGATCTAGACTAGCAAAAAACAACATTTAATCACTAGGCCCGTCCATATTTAATAACGAATTCACAATATAGTCTAACTGTTTTGATCGCGTTAAATGAAAGTACGTTTTTCGGAAATAACTTACTCTACAGTTTATTTTTTAAGCTTGTTTTTGTAAAATTACATACATGTATTTGTAAAGTTGATTATGTCTATCATTCATCGATTGATTATAAGCATCGGTCATTAATAAAATCAACAACTGTTAGTGCTATGTCCAACAGTATTTCATACCAAATTTATGAACCCGCATAACTCGAATACTCAGATAACTCGAAGTTTCCCCACGACCCCGTCGACTTCGAGATAACGAGGTTCGACTGTCATGGTACCAATAAACTTGATACCTCATTCCTTAATGTTTACCTTTCCTTTTCCTGGCTACAGCTTTAGGAGGCGGGGGTGGAGGAATAGACTTTCTTTGTTGGCTTTTCTTTTTCACCATTTTCTTTTGTTTTCTTTTCCCTGACAAAACAATATGACGAAGACATCAGCAAATTCAGTTTGAAAACAAGCATGTACAGTATTAAAAATTAAAACAAGAAATAAGTCGTGGAGGTAGCAGCATACCGTTTTGCTCAGTACTTGAAGCAACAGAACTATGGCTAAAACACATAAATTGCACAACCATGCAGGGATACTTGCTTTCTAAGTATGTATGTTTCTATATAATGAGCTGGGTTCATGCAGCTGATTTAACAGTCTTTCCACCATGCCATAAATCATCTAGTAAAATATTCATGTTCTAAAACACCTTTGTTCTACTGCCGCTCTGAAACAATTGATTAATCAGAATTGTTTACAGCATTATGGAAACTAGATATGCATAATAGTGTGAAACTCGTTTGAAAAAAAAATAAAAAAAAACATTGTCTGTCTGTAGCAGTGAACAAGGAGGTAACTCCCTCCTTTTTAAAATCTGATAATTGAGCTTAAAATTTTTCCCTGCTAAAAAAAGAACTCTTTCCCCGCTCTATAATTTCAATGATCCCAAATTTTGCAAAAACTAAATGTCTGTTAAGGTCACTTACTGGGTATAAATGACAACACTAGGACCTAGCATGAAGATTAGATATTTTTAAGTAAAGTACAAATTTCACATGTTATTTTTAACCCATCAAATTTATATTTTCTTTTCAATTTTGTCTATGATTTTTTCAATTCACCCACGATCCATACATCTCAAAATACCCTCAATCTGGTCAAACTAAACCAAAACTGACAAACAATTTCTTAAAGTCAACTTATAAGTCATGTTTATTTGAAATTAAATGGACCACTTAGCAATAACTTCATATTACAATTAATACAGATGTATAAAGTTTCTCCATGATCTACAAAGATGGAGAATCAGATAATTTGTTGTTACTAAAAGTAGTGCTTAATCAGAAATGTGATGAAAATTGTTCAGAATGAAAACCAATGACAAAAAAATATTTTTTTGTTATCAAAATTTATAACAACATTGTAAATGTAAGTAAAATACTACAAGTCCCTGTAAATAAGTTTGAACAAAGTACATTGCTGTATGTGGGTTTTGCTATACAACACAAGCACTGTGGTAATATAAACATCAATATGGTAAATCAAAACGGTGGCTGACTAAAAACTTGGATTACACAACAGACAACGTGTACATTATAACCTAATTTATCTGTAAAATATTATTCCAAGTAGACATTTTATTGAAAGTTATGCCAAAATACATAGAAATCAAGTTAACCATTTATTTTTTATTACATTTATATTTATTTTTTTATTTTAATGAATTATACTGAAAATGGACATCAGCTTAAGGTGTAAAACTTAAAACTATTATCTACTGAAAGATAACACTGTTTTATGGTTCAACAATTCACAGATTTAAAATAATTACAACAAAAATCATAAGTTAATTATCAATACTAAAATAACAACAAGAGGCCCAAGGGCCTTAGCGGTCACCTGAGTTATATCATAGATACTGGTAGCTTTATTTTATTGTTTAGATGTGATGTGGAAATCAGCATGTAAACTAAGTGAAATACAATACTTGTCATGTCATCAATGGATAAGAATTTGAAAATATTGGTAAATGTTCCCTTTGGGGCCCCGCCCTAGCCCCTGGGGATGGGGCAGGAATCCTAATTTTACAAAGTAAAACTCTCATTTACCCAAGATGATTCTGACTAAGTTTGAGCAATTTTCTGCTGAAAATGGATAAAATATATACCGAAAAGTGTTATTTCCCTATATAAACTATATTAAACGTTAACCCCTCCCCAAGGGAGAACGGATAGCTCGGGGTCCTGATATTTTCAATTTAAATAAAGCCCCTGATGATCTTTCTTTCCACGTAAAGAAAATCACTGTAGTACCTCTGAGTCTGGAGAAGAAGATTTTTGAAATATTGATTAATTTTCCCTTTGGGGCCCCGCCCTGGCCCCAGGGGTCGGGGTAGGAATCTCAATTTTACAATTTGAAACCATCTACCTCCAAGGATAATTCTCACCAAGTAAAAATAATTTCCTACAGAAAGTTGTCAAAATATACCCAAAAGTGTTATTTCCCTATATAAACTATAGTAAACTTTACCCCCTCCCCAAGGGAGAACGGATAGCTCGGGGGTCCTGAAATTTACAATTTAAGTAAAGCCCCTGATGATCTTTCTTTCCACGTAGAGAAAATCACTGTAGTACCTCTGAGTCTGGAGAAGAAGATTTTTGAAATATTGATTAATTTTCCCTTTGGGGCCCCGCCCTGGCCCCAGGGGTCGGGGTAGGAATCTCAATTTTACAATTTGAAACCATCTACCTCCAAGGATAATTCTCACCAAGTAAAAATAATTTCCTACAGAAAGTTGTCAAAATATACCCAAAAGTGTTATTTCCCTATATAAACTATAGTAAACTTTACCCCCTCCCCAAGGGAGAACGGATAGCTCGGGGGTCCTGAAATTTACAATTTAAGTAAAGCCCCTGATGATCTTTCTTTCCACGTAGAGAAAATCACTGTAGTACCTCTGAGTCTGGAGAAGAAGATTTTTGAAATATTGGATAATTTTCCCTTTGGGGCCCCGCCCTGGCCCCAGGGGTTGGGGTAGGAATCCCAATTTTACAATTTTGAAGCCTCATCTACCAAGGATGATTCTGACCAAGTTTGAAAAAAATCCATTCGCTGGTTCTTGAGAAGAAGTTGAAAATGTAAAAGTTTACGCACGACGCACGACGCACGACGCACGACGGACGACGGACGACGGACGACGACGGACGAAAAGCGATTGGAATAGGTCACTTGAGCAAAGCTCAGGTGACCTAAAAATGTACACCTTCTTATAACTACCGGTAGGTGTATATCTACACATAAATCTTATAGAAATATTACTATCGCTCGATATATTTACTCGGAGAGGCCGTATATCTTCTTAAAAATTCACACAGTAGATTTTTTTTCCTTATTGATTAAGAATTTAGAAAAGTCATATAAAGTCATCAAGCAAGATAACTCTAGATTTACAAACTGATCAAGCCACGATTCCACTGAGAGCAGATATGCCTGGATAGACATCTTGGCAGTAAGATAAAAGGGGTGGATATATAAGAATGAAGAATCAGCCGTTATATTGTAAGTAACTAGTTCTCACTGAAAAATAGGAGTTACTTATATGGATAGCGCGAAGACACAACACAGAAATTAGACACAGAAAGAAAGACACAACATGAGAAAGAAATGAAAAATTTCATAATTCGGAATGGCAACATGCGTGTTGAAATGTTTCCAAAGAAAAAGTACAGTGGGTTAAACTGCAAAAGCGCACAATGGTTAAATCACAGACAAATGTTATGATAGAAATGAAATGAAATGAAATGAGATGACATGAGATGAAAATGTTTTCCTCCAATTATATATTCAATTATATTTTTACTGTGTAGAAATGAAAGTAAGCATTATACTGGTGACCTGCATCCTGAGAACAAAACAAAATTTTGTTATAATTTGAACCAGATCTGATGCAGGCAGACACAATTGTTAATAGCTACAAGTACATTTCATAAAACTAGTAGCTCAATTTCAATCCATTGACACAGAATATATTTTTGTTATAAAGTGATAACACAAACAGTTAGAGGACACCGTCTATATATAGGGGAGGTAATTATTTGCTCAGTCTTTTTCTGATGCTACCGGGTAATACAAAATCTTTCTTTAAAAATATATTCCTATAAGTCTACTTTTATTTCCTATAACTCTGCTTCTATTTCCACCTATCATTTATTCATAAATTTCCATTGCATCAGAAAATAAATGTACATACTTTTGAGGTACCGGGTAAATACACAGTTTCAAGCAAAACATTTTTTGGCTCTAATTAAAGTTGTTCTTTTAAAACTTTAAACTTTGAATATCATGTCTACAACAACATAACATCATCTTCCTAGCTACAGGCTATTTACTAATTATAGTATTCTAAACATTCTTTAGACCCTGGAACTGACCTTTCAGACATGTTTCGTGTAGAACATATACATTGTACATGCATGTTACACTTGTAAGAGTAACCATAATGATTTTATCAAAGGCTGTTCTGAGATTAAGACAATATCTACACAATTATTTTACACTTTGTTTAAAGGGCCAACCCATGTTACCCTAATGGCAGAAGTGGAGTGCCATTAGCATGCTGGTGTTGGAACACTGGTAAGCACCTACATGAAGGTCTCTGTACCTCTTTAGTCAACCACGAACTAGGCCTAATCAATAATGGAGTTCTTAATAGTTTTACTTATTTCTGTTTTTTAACAATTTATGGCAAGTCCACAGTGTCAGCTCTGATTATTTTTATAGATTTCCATATACCAGGTAACAGCCAGTGAGTTGCCCTCGACCATGCCTTGGACGTCCTCAGCCCAATTGACTGAACGTCAACTGAATACTGTTATAAACATTTGAGCGTTTTTGTTTTGTTTATTCTTTACTTACATTCCTAAATTGTAAATGTGGAATATCTTGATAGGGCTCTAATGAGCACTTTATGGAATATGACTTAGCTGCTGCTGAGTTTGTTTAAAATTTGTATTAATAGTAAGCTCTGTCTGAGCTCCAACTAAATCCTGACTGAGGTATTATATCCACACTGCTGTTCTAGATATGTTATGTTTTGGGTTTAAACTTTATAACTACTGACTAAGTTATAAACAAGATTTCCTTCAAGTATTAACTGTGATCATTTTGTTCTTAATGAGCCCTGACATAGCTTAAATGAGCTTGTCTATCACCGCTACATATATCTGGGTTCTTTAGGCTTGAAACTTTTTTTTTCTAAATTTAAACACAGATTCTTATGCACTGACTGAGCCCTGACTAAGCCCTGACTAAGCCCTAACTGAGCCCCCACTGAACCCTGACTGAGCCCCCACTGAGCTTAACCTTCACTGTTAGCCTGGACATACCTGTGGCTGGCCTCGTGGCTATCTTGCCTATCTTGTGGATGATGGCTTTAAGGCGAGTATTGGTTTCATCTGAGCAGAGGCAAAACAGAGATACAGTGTCTAACACAGAGACAGATGACATTTCATAAATCTCTAAACAATGAAATAGGTAAGCATTTCAGTGTTTCTGACAGTAACTTAAAATTAAAACAGGTATACAATGCCCTAACATCAAAAATTTAAATTTAAAAAAAATATGGATGAAAATAAAAGATCAGTCGGGGCAATTGGTGGTGATATGACTCATGAAATGCTATCAGGGTTCCCACACGTAAGGGGTTTTAAATCACTGAGTGATAAGAGAGGGGGCTGTTACCAAAGTGTTGTTACAGAAACAAGGAACTGGCATCATAACACATGGTAATGTAATGGCGTGGTGGTATAGGGATGAAGAGTTTATCAGTTTTCACATGTTAGTCTGGTCATACATAGACAAACCTGAAACCTGTGTATCTATAAACAACTTTGAAAAATCAGATGGGGAGTGAATTTACCAATAATCTCTTTACATTGAATTGATTATGAGGCCAAATAAAAAATAAAAATCTTGTGTTTCCGCTAACCTTACCTACCCTAGATTTTCGACCTATCCTCAATTTTTATTGTAATTTAGTGATCTGCACAGTCAAAGTTAGAACTGCTGCTGTATATCATATGGGTAAAATGTTTTCCAAAAAAAGAAAGAAAAGAAAATGCCTACCTACCTACCCTATTTTTTCTCAGGATGATAGCGGAAACACAAGTAATTTATTTTTGGCCTAATGAGCATTTTCCTCATCTTAATAGTGCTTGCAAAGCTGTTTAAAATTGGCATAAAAATGTGTAGCGTAAATAACAAGAGGCCCAGTTGGCCTGTATTGCTCACCTGAATATTAAAGCAGTCATAGCAAAATATTCTCATCAAATATTATCCTGTACTACAAATATTTCTCTCGCAAACTCTGTCACCTCCATCTGTTGAAACTACTAGCCAAATATTATTGTATGATTCTATGCTTTTTGGTTCTTCTTCAGAAGTTGTTTGAAGTGTTTGACCCTGTGACCTTGTAAGTAGGTCAAGGTCATTTTCATTCTCAAACTTTGTCAGGCTCCTACCAACGAAGCTTTCAGCCAAATATCATGACTCTAGGCCTGTCCGTTCTTCAGAAGAAATTGTTTAAAGGAAAAGTTGATGGACGACGGACGCCGCACCATGACATCAAAAGGCAAGTGAGCTAAAATCTAATATATATATAGTTCTATTTACCATAAAAACAGATATTCATTCAGGCCTTATACAGCTCCTACACCACTTTTGTAAGGTACCAGATACCATTTGTTTTATCTTATAGACCTCTTTTTTTCGGTGATACACTATTTTAGAAAGTTCTTCATGGCCAGGAAATCAACAATAAAAAGAAAGTGATAAGGAACATTTTAAGCATTCCCAAAGATCTGGGAGAGATATTTGGTCTGTAATTATAATCACAAGCCACTGAATTAGGTGAGTGATAGTAAAAAATGTAAATGAAATTGTGAAAAGAAAGATGAAACTTTTATACGTAAATATTTGTATAGAAGACAGGAAAAGTCAGAAATAAGAAACATGATACATTGTATATATATATATATATATATATGTACATAATGACACATTGTATGTACAACATGACACATTGTACACATTGTATGTACAACATGACACATTGTATGAACATGATGCATTGTATGTACAACATTACACATGGTATGTACAACAAGACACATTGTATGTACAACATGACACATTGTATGTACAACATGACACACTGTATGTACAACATGACACATTATATGTAAAACATGCTACATTTTATGTACAACATGACACATTGTATGTACAACATGACACATTGTATGTACAACGTGACACATTGTATGTACAACGTGACACATTGTATGTACAACGTGATACACTGTATGTACAACATGACACATTGTATGTACAACATGACACATTGTATGTACAACATGACACATTGTATGTACAACATGACACATTGTATGTACAACATGACACATTGTATGTACAACATGACACATTGTATGTACAACATGACACATTGTATGTACAACATGACACATTGTATGTACAACATGACACATTGTATGTACAACATGACACATTGTATGTACAACATGACACATTGTATGTACAACATGACACATTGTATGTACAACATGACACACTGTATGTACAACATGACACATTGTATGTACAACATGACACATTGTATGTACAACATGACACATTGTATGTACAACATGACACATTGTATGTACAACATGACACATTGTATGTACAACATGACACATTGTATGTACAACATGACACATTGTATGTACAACATGACACATTGTATGTACAACATGACACACTGTATGTACAACGTGACACATTGTATGTACAACGTGACACATTGTATGTACAACGTGACACATTGTATGTACAACGTGATACACTGTATGTACAACGTGATACATTGTATGTACAACATGACACATTGTATGTACAACATGACACATTGTATGTACAACGTGACACACTGTATGTACAACATGACATACTGTATGTACAACATGACACGTTGTATGTACAATGTGATACACTGTATGTACAACATGACACATTGTATTTACAACATGACACATTGTATTTACAACATGACACACTGTATGTACAACATGACATACTGTATGTACAACATGACACATTGTATGTACAACATGACACATTGTATGTACAACATGACACACTGTATGTACAACATGATACATTGTATGTACAACATGACACACTGTATGTACAACATGACACATCGTATGTACAATAAAATAGTGAGATACAGTTATATCCAGATTGTACATTTTGTAATTGGAAACATTATAAGTGCACTGATTTCAATTATCCTAGCTGCAGAAACAAGATTTGCAATTCATGAACAAGGAAATGTCCATGAAATGATGAAATAATGCAAGAAAACAAAAGCAGTAAAATTCTGAAAGATTTGGATAAATAGGAAAAATGTATGAATGTCAAGAACAGGTACCCAAGGCCTGCATCACTCACCTGTCACGATTGCCTTATGTTGACCCTTTTATAAAACCACAGGTCCCAAATAAAATGTTAACCAAGTATCTCCCCTTATACTATTCTATGTATGAAATTAAAGTCTGAGCTAGTACAAACATTTACAGTCCAGTCTTCTTCAATTTTGCCCAAGTTGATGTTTCTACCGGTCCTAGTATCAGGCCCTTGATTGAAATATTATTCTACATATTTGAAAGCATGATACTATTTACTTTCAAAGTTTTGTTTTTGAATTTCTTGCAATTCACCAAATTAACCCCCTCTTTTTGTGGTTCTAGCTAGTCTCATATTTCTGTCCTAGTTATAGCCAATTTACATAAGTTTCACTGTATAAGATCAATTGAAAGCGTAAAAAGGTTGAGTGAAAATGAATAAATATTTCAGTGCATTTTCTACAGATTAAAACTACATTGGTATAGGAATAATGATGACCATGTTTTGTAAAAATTATTTTAGGATATTTGTTTTCATCCAATTCTGTATTATAAAATAAGTTTCTAACAATTCATACATTTTCTGCTGTATCTGAGGAAATAACATCTATATAAATTCAAATGTGGAATATGTGCACAACAAATTGGATACAGTAAATACCAAAACAAACCAGTGTGAATCTATCTATGTATCTATCTATCTATAATCTCATTTAAGAGCATGATGAAAAAGGTACACATAGAAAATATTTGAATTATTTCCAACACCTTACAAAGAATTTAAAAATAAAGGTGTAGAATTCAGGTGTGTTATACAAATTCAGGTGTGTTATACAAACTCAGCATAAGCTAGGCGAGAGGTCTTACCTTCACTGCTTTCCTCGCTGGCGAAGAGGTATGGGTCCCTGTGGCTTTCAGCTTTGTCCTCGTTCAGTAAAGAGTCGTGACTACTTCCTCCGTTTAGTGACGGAAGGTCGTCGTTATCATTTAAGTCCGAGCTAAAAGATGCACCACATATATGGCTAATTTATGGAAGACATGAGAAGTTATACAAACAACCTTTACATAAAACACAGGGAACATTTCCCTCAGTCGACCTACGATGATCAAAATACTCAATGTTGAGCCATATAAGCATCTACGATGATCAAAATCCATATTTACTCAGTGTTAAGCCATATAAGCATCTACGATGATCAAAATCCATATTTACTCAGTGTTAAGCCATATAAGCATTTCACATTTGATTAAAATGTTTATAACGTTATTTTCCAATATTTGTTCTGTTGATAAATTTTCCTTCATTATGGAAGGCAAAAAATGCAACAAAAGTTAAACTGCAGCAAAGATGTTTCCGATATACACATGTACATGTACAGTATGTATGTATATATCACTTTCATGGTGTTACTGCTATTATAAATGTTCATGCATATACACGTACTAAAATGTTAATATCAAACCCACAATATGAAAACTTTTGCTTTGGACTTTATGATATGTATACCTTTTACTGTTACTCTTCAGCATTTTGCGACTCTGTCGTCCCCGACGCGATGGCATGGCAAGCTTCATTCTTTTTGCTTTTGCTCCTTTTTTAGGAGCACAGCTCTTTCTCTTCACTGGAACTGGACTTGGGGGTTGTTCCAGCGCTTCAGGCTCCTCTTCGTCCTCTTCCTCACTACTGTCTTTCTGTTTTTCATTGTCCACTACCTTCATTTCACTACCACTTTCATGATCTTTTTCATTATCACTTTCATACTTTTCCTCCTCATTGTCATGATTCGGTTCTATTCCATCAGAATTATCACCAGAATTTGAATTCGATTGTGCACTATCATCACCATCATCACTGTCAACTTTCCTTATTGATTGGCTAGATTGTTCGGAAACATTATCATTTCCACCATTGTTTTCATCACTGTTTCCAGCACTGTCATCTTTATCACTGTTCGGCTCAGACATAATAATTGTAGAATTTTCATGACGGTTTTGAGAAATTGAAAAGGTTGGCGTACTATTGTCTGCTGCACGGTCAGCTGTGTGTGAATTTGGAGATTTTGATGAGGACCTGACTGATGATGATGAACTTGATGAGGATGATGATGAGCTTGATGAAGCTGACGATGAAGATGATGATGATGAAGATGAGGAACACGAGTCATTGTCCTGAGATAAGTTTTCAATAGTTTTAATATGAGATGTAGAAGTTTTGTCTGAATCACTTTCAGTTTTTGAGTTTGAATTATTTTTAGACCATCCTTCTTTGAATGTTTCTATGTCTACAGCATTGTCCCGAGCACAAATCCGTTTCTCCATGTCACGTGATGAGTCGCTTTCCTGTTCCTGCTTCACTCCGTTGTTCACTACCCTTTCATTACTTCTGTAAACTTTTTCGAACTGTAAAGAAAATGTCTCTAATCATTTCTGTATCTTTTTATTTATCTACTTAATTCCTATTTCATGTCATTGCATAAGATTGAGCTTTCCTATTTTAAATTTACTATTTTTTTCACTGGAAATTCCTTTATTTTTGCAGATTTGTTGCCTCTATTTTCCAAATTCCAAAACCTTTTTTCATTTCAAATCAAAGCAAGGTCAAAATCTGTGTATTCTTTCTAAGTAAAAATGTTAACCTCTAAACATGCTTCTTTTGCATTCTTAATTAATGGGTCTTCCTCATAACTGCTTTCTTATTTGTCCTGTTATGTTAGTATTCAATGTAAGCCCTGATCAGGAGTTAACACAGATAATATGGGCCCTATGGCTGATGCTCGCAGGAGTTTGGTTTGGTTTGGTTTAATTTTGTGTAACGTCCTATTAACAGCTAAGGTCATTTAAGGACGCGCCTCCATGTGTGTAGTGTATGCGTACGTGGGTGTGTTGGTGTGTGTATACAGGAGACAGGGTGTCTTGGTGTGTGTATACAGGAGACAGGGTATGTTGGTGTGTGTATACAGGAAACGGGGGTATGTGGGTGTGTGTATACAGGAGACAGGGTATGTTGGTGTGTGTATACAGGAGACGGGGTATGTTGGTGTGTGTATACAGGAGATGGGGTATGCTGGAATCATTTGCCCTAATGTTTTAGGAACAAGTGTGAAAAGATTCACTGTATCTGTTCTAGGGAAAAAGTGAAATATATTTCAGCCAATCACAGGCTAGGGCAATCCTGGCTTCCTTCATTGACATGAAAAAGAAGAACACTTACTTGACTTAGCCGGGACCTAGAAACCTATTTGAGTTTGGACTCAATCACTGCGATTTTTTTTTTTTTTTAATGAAGTTGAAAATCTATCAGCCATAAGGCAAGTGGCCAGGGCGACCTTCATAGATTTATGAATTGGCATGAAATATAACAACACGTTGTTCCAAGTTTGTAAAGAATATCTATACAGAGTTTCAGAGTCAATCACTGCATCATTTTTTTGGGATGAATTTGAAAATCTGTCAGTCGTTGTGCCAGACCAGCCATCTTTGATTTTTGTATGGGTATGAAAAGGAACACTTGGCCAGGACGTATGGTACCTCATACAAACATTTGTACCAAGTTTGAATTGCTTCAATGCTCCTTGAGCAGTTGAAAATGTTTAAACTGTTAATGAACTTCTTACGACCATGGACAAAGGCAAACATCTATCGTACATGTGATCAATCATCGGATGTAAAATTTACTATTACATACTTTTACAGTGAATTTGAAATTTAGAAATAGTTATTGTGAAGTAATTTCTTAGACTATGACAAATCCATTTCCACACAACTCAAAGAATGAGGTTTCAATGCATCAAATGATGTCTCTCTTAGAAGAAAAAAAAGTTGACCGGAAGCCTTACTATAAACTGGAATTCTGAGTGAGGCTGCCTTGAGTGTTGGCCCGGTGCCAATTTGTATCCATTTGTGTGACCAAATGTTATCTTGTCTCCTTCTTCAAGCTCACATGAGCTCTGCATCTGAAATTATAAGAAAAGCTTGTTACATAGTTCTACACAATATGTCAATGCATGTCTCTAAAGATGACTTTATGTTCCCTACAAAAGGATCTTTGGTGTCATAAATGAACGATGGGACATAACTCCACAAAATACCGGATCTCAAATACACTATATACATTCAGCAAGAGAATCACAAAAATCAAAAATTAAAATATGCAGAAATTAGCCTACACAATTGATTGTAACTGGAAATCAATCAGTTATGTGTAACCAATAATTGATCATCATAATGGAACAAATTCCAACCACAACCCTCAATATACAATTACCTTGATATCATTGATGAAGGTTCCATTGAGACCCTTATCATGCAGGACAAACTTAATGAGGCCATCCTCGTCACGGATTCCATGGATTTCAGAGTGATGGCGAGAAATAAAATTTGGCAGTGTAGCTGAGTCAAGATAATAGTGGTTACTGGCTGCACGACCGAACTTAGTTACGCCAACATGTAGTCTGGAAAAAAACAGAGGATTTTCAATATATGTATTACAGACAAAATCTGGTTCTTTCCTTCAGGCAAATTATGCCGTTCATGAGCTCGAGACAGTTGTGTATTTTCATGCAGATACTTTTTTAACTTCTATGTGTAGAAAATTGTCTAATAAGATTGTAAGTTGCAAGTTTGAAAATTTCATAGCTGTAAGATATAGATATATAGCTCTCTTTTAGAGAAAATCATCTATTTCCAGGTTTCTTCTCCTCCTAAATGTAGGATTTGAGGATAGATGAACATTCAACATTGAGAAACATTAGTATAATGATCTAAAATGTGAATGACACATCACTGTCTTTAGTGTCTCCGTTGATTCCTGAAGTATGCAGTTAAACAAATTAAGCAAAAGATTGTATGATCCATATATTATCAAACACTACATTAATCGATATCCATATTGTTACATGTATAGCAAAATTTTATAAAGTTGATACATAATATCCAAACAGCAAAGTAGTTCAAGGGAGATAATCCAAGATTAAACTACTACTTGCAGTGTTAATTATATATATAGCGTCAATATTAAACAATAAATTAAGTTTCTATATATGATAATACAGTGATTAACTGTATGTACACCATTGGGCAGGACTAACTGGTACATATGGTACTGGTAATTCAGTGAGTCACTGTAACCTGCATTTTGATATTTCATCAATATTATTGTGAGACAATATATCTACAGATTTACCAAATCACCTTGAATTTTAATTTGACTTTTTCCTTACTTTGTTACATTAGTGTAGTCAACATGGCAGAATCTCACAATTATTTGAATTTATTTAAGATATTGTGAATTTATTTCAACTAATTGCAAGATTCTGCCATGTTGTCGAAGTATACCCTTTGTTAGAATTTGATCATTAATGATCTTTTAGCGATGACTGTATACTAACAGTATCCAATGTGGCAATCATCTGAATTGCACCAATTTTCTGCTTATAACGGGCATTGTCTCTCCAACCTCATAGAGTGATTTGTGATGAGCTGTTTGATGATCCTGCATGTGCAACAGTATGGAAAATGTTTTTCCTCAACCGAGCTCATATAGGTAAAAACATCATTTGCAATTACCTACATGTACCTTAATACACCTTCATTAAAATGTTAAATAAAGTTTAGCTAGGAGAAACATTCTGGAAACAAATTTTTTAATTGAGTTTTGAAGTCACTATATATTTACAAAGTAACAGTGATCATGATCACAGTGACCTATTTTATGTGATAATTTGTCAACTCCACGTTTACAGGAGCTACTTATACATAAATACTAAGTTAGAAAACCCTAAATAAAATAGTTCCTGTAGCAGGGGGTTTTGGGAAACGGACCCTGGGATGAGTTTGAAAATTCCCAACAGCATAAGAACAATATCAGGAAATCTGGAGGTTCGTTATAACAATACTGCATGCATGAAATAGGACTATTTGACTTTTATTTATAATAATGTATAGTACCTGTATATTTATGATTATCTTTATGACAAAATAATTTATAGTACCTGTATATTTATGATTATCTTTATGACAAAATAATTTATAGTACCTGTATATTTATGATTATCTTTATGACCTAATAATGTATAGTACCTGTATATTTATGATTATCTTTATGACAAAATAATTTATAGTACCTGTATATTTATGATTATCTTTATGACAAAATAATTTATAGTACCTGTATATTTATGATTATCTTTATGACAAAATAATTTATAGTACCTGTATATTTATGATTATCTTTATGACAAAATAGTGTATAGTACCTGTATATTTATGATTATCTTTATGACAAAATAATTTATAGTACCTGTATATTTATGATTATCTTTATGACATACTAATGTATAGTACCTGTATATTTATGATTATCTTTATGACAAAATAATTTATAGTACCTGTATATTTATGATTATCTTTATGACAAAATAATTTATAGTACCTGTATATTTATGATTATCTTTATGACAAAATAATTTATAGTACCTGTATATTTATGATTATCTTTATGACAAAATAATGATTTCCTATTTGTGCTGTATTCCAGGAACACAGTCAACTGTGAGGAATGTATAGTACCTGTATATTTATGCAGCTATTTTTTTGGTTCCCCCTTGGGAATTTTCAAGGGGCAAATTGGGAAAACCATACCCTTTTTCAGTTGGGAATGGGTCTTTTTAACATTCGCAAAACACACCCTGGTCAACTTCTGTGTAAAGAAGAAATATTGCTGTGGAAGAGATATTTGTAAAGTTTCATTAAAATCAATCTCATATAACTTGTAACAGAACAACAGATTTGACATGGGCTTGTTCAGTAAATCAAGGGCAATAACTCTCTCATTATCAGTGAAAAACCATGGTGGTAGTCTATATGTCAGTTTGTCACCTCTCCCGCAAAGCGAGGAATTATCCTGCATAAGGAACAGAGGGAAAAGGTACTCTAACTGCAATAGCTTTTTGTCCTAGCATGACTAGGCTGGTATTTATCAATTAATTAATCCCACTTGTATCTCTCAGGGTAGATTGATCCCCTGAATACAATGACTTCACAATCTACTCAAGTTCATTCTGAGTCAATCAGATGCTTGATGTACACAATAAATGTCAATAACATTATTACGCTGACTGAAGAATCCAAAACACTGTTGAAAGCTAGTATATAAGATATCGTCGTATTTTATCAATTTTCTACAAAAATTCAATTAAATTAGATCTGAGCTATTCAGCAATACACTTATAAGCTTACGACAATCATCTGTTGCAAACAAAACCAGGCTGTTCACTTGATTTACATATATATTGAAAATGAACTGCAAGAGAAACAATCGCTAATAAGTACATGTAATCAATATTCTTAATTTGAATTATAATAATAAGTTTATTAACCCTTTGTAATTTATTATCATTTTTCAGTTTGTTGCGTGTGACTTTGCAACATATTACAACCTGAGAGCTGCCATGAAAAGAACCACAAACTGGGATCCCCCTCTGAAACTTAACAAAGAATGGTATATATTCCTCTGAGAGAGTTGACCTTATAGTAATCACTTATACTGTGGTCATATCAGATTCATGTGATGGGAAGAAATGTGTGCGAGGGTTTCATTAAAATCATTGCAGTTACTATGAGGAAAGAGTAGCGTAGCACTTGAATTGGTATTACATGTAATTATATTTTATTATTTTTAACATTTATAGATACATGTATAGTGTTTATTACACTAGCACTATGAAAAACTTGCAGGTCTTGGGTTAAAGGAAGATATGGCAAATCCGGATCTTCTTAAGTATACAATATAATACTATGCATAATCAATGTTAAAACAACCCTTTTTTCAGGCTGTAGAAATGGAGCATGTATGCTATGTTGCCGTAAGACGCTAACATTTAAATGGCTCCACATGTGATCTGACAGATAATTTACAGCTCTAGAGGAGGCTTAAAACCTTAATGTGTAATTTGTCAGATTATCTGAGGAAATTTATGCAATAAGCGTCTAAAATCAGGTACTTAATTAATTAGTTCTAAATAAAACATTTAATTGAATTTTCAACATATAAGTTACATTACAACTTTTTTTTATATTCAAAAACGGTATCTATTCACAACTCATGACCAGACACTCTAGTATATATATATATGATACAACTGATTAGGGAAACATTAATATTCCTCAACTCTAAACAGTCACTCCAAATCTTTGGTTTTTTTTAGTGCTACCCGATAAAAAAATCAAGCAAATTCTGAATCACCACCACACGAACACCAAAGATCTAGATCTGTACATTTCGTCATCAATATTATTGATCAGGTTCCCCCGACAATGTAAATACATAGTTAATTCTCGTTTACCCAGAACAGAGAATATCAGCTATGTCGCTGTACCATAACCTGTTAAAAAATCAATAGTACCTATGGAGGACCATGTACAGGTTTGGTTATATGCTATATAGGCCGAGGAGCTTGTGCTGATGAATTACATGTTTCCGTTGAAAACTTATTAATCACCACAGTGGCGAGGTTGGCGCAACATTATATAACTGTCTGTGTGTACATTGGCATCTAGCTATATTGTTTATAGCTATATACTTGGCATAAGGTGTTTGTGACCACTCAAGAAATTAGCCATTCTCTATATAACATTTATCAAATATATAGATTAAATGTATGGTACTAGCTAGGGTGTGTTTACATCTATATATAGTACCTTTTGGGCTGTTGCAAACTGAAGTTTTTAAACAATATGGGACCTATGCAACTAATTATGAAGTTTTCACAATAATAAATTATATATATATATAGCTCTCCATCACATGATAATTTCTAGGAAAACAATTTCATCTAACTTTGATTTGGCTCTCTGCCTTGACTATGGAATACTTTACTCAGCAGCGGGCATCTTTTTAGTGTGCCCAGTAAACAGTAATATGACTAGTATATAGAGAGCCCCATGCTGCAAGGGCACAACATACAGGGATAATCCTGGAGGATCATGTTCCTGTTGTCGCTGAAGAAAGGCTAAATTACATTAAACATTCTTATTTCAAGTATTAAGTGTTGTTTTATATAATGACCATCCAAAACTCCCAGAATGTTTCCTGTGCCAACGATTTTCTCCAAATTTCACCCACCCCCCTCTCTAACTTTCCTACCAACCAACCCCTTACCTGAATGCTGTGTTATATTTTTCACACTATATACCACGGTAGTTGAAAGTAGCTAGATCATGATCACATGACATGTAAAACATATAGATCAATTATCTATTAGCTAACAAGCTTAACAAATTAATTTTAACACAGTGACAGTAGCAGTTTACCTGTTACACATTTTTTGGGGTTACAATATATATATTATCTTATTCACTTAAGTATAATTTAAATATTTTAAATACATGTGTCTTTGCCAAATACACTGATATTATAATTTTGTCAAACAGCAATACAGACTATGACTTAAAA